TAATTGGAATATGACATTGTGAATCTTACCACCTTGATCCTTTCTCTCTGGTGATATACGTCAGGTCCTTCATCAAAGTTAACATTGGAACCAGCCCTTGGCCTACATCCTCCCCAATACATAAAAATTCACTCTGGCGCCTATCTAATATTTGTTGATATTTGCGGAAGCAGATCATTGTAGTAGGCTTCTTCTGGCGTCCATAGGTTTTGCCCGATATTCTTTCACAATATTTGACAAATTCTCCTTAAACTCTCATGCACAGTTCACTTTAGTAGAACTACAGCTTTTTTCATGATCATTATTCAGTCATTTACGGAAACTTTCAATCACCTCAAAACCACTTCACTGTTTACCTCATAGTTTTAGTAAATTTCAGTAGAACAGAGGAGATCTTGTATCAGAATCAGTATTTCTTGCATATCTGTCTTTTTGTTGTGTACATGGAAATCGCAGTCCAAAATATCAGATATTTTTCAACATAAGATCATCCCCAAATTCAGCATCCATTTCATAGATTATAGTATCAGCTTTATTGTGTCATGACAAGGGCAAGAAGAAATGGTTGCAACCGATTTCTGTAAACTATCACAGCGGAACAATGTTGACTTTGTTCAAGTTGTATAAATTACTATTAGATTATGTCTGAGATTCCCAAATAAAGAGATTGTTGCTGGGAGGAGACCATATATATCTCAGTCTGCTTCCATTTTGCCAATCTCATTACATGTAGTTTTATTCTTTAAATTTTTCCTAAAATGTCTCAAGTAGTAGTTGAATTACCTGTTGATATTTCATGAGCACACTTCACCTAGAGTAATTACTTGAATTTATTGTTTGTGATTCTCCAAAAAAGAAAACAAAATCATTTTCTCTGCCTGACTATGTTCTGTTGCAGCTAGACGAACTTAAGAATTCAAATAACATGGATCTGCACAAAGAGACTGGACGGGGAAGCACAGGCACAGGCACAGGCACCGAAGGAGGAAGTCTAAAGATCCTGTGCACTGTAATGCGAAAACAAGATGTTGATTCGATAGAGCATTGATTTACATGAAAGGAACAAGTATCCAAAGTGTTGTACTATGATGTGTTGTTAGGCATGAGGTTTTTTGTATATTGTCTTTCATCAAATTTATGAAATGATTGTGATCTCAAACAAAGAAGATATGAATACATTTATGTTAATGCATTTGATCCTAGCGCCTGGCCTACTGTGTTCTTATCAATAATAAACTCACACAATTTGCAGTAAAATAACTGAGAATTTTGTTACAGGAAGGAGTGTCACAAATCTGTAATTTTATAATTTAGAAGCGCGTTCATCTCAGGTTGAACCAAAAATACGACGACGGCACTGAGAAGTTTGCTAACAAGAACACAACAAGAAGAACAACCAAGAGCGCAACAGAGCAAACAAGCCTACAAGATAATTGAAGAACAATGGATCAAACTGTATGCTGGAAAAACAAGATGCATGGAACTTGTAAGATAGATATCAAGCCTGACACTCCGGCCGGATAAATCAAAATTTGAACAAGAATATGTACAATGACAAGAAAATGCAAATTCGATAATGTCAAGTTCTGCAATTTAAAGTAAAGTGTAAAACTACACCCAGGAATGAAAAGAATCTGCTTACAGCAATTGCTGATGCCGCAAGGCCAGATCGCTCTCTTGGATCTTGAGATAATACTTCCCCAAGTAAAGAACAGTGGATAATACCATAATGGAGGAAATACAAACCCCAACAGAAACCTGTTGCAAATTCAAACTCTCAAAAAAAAAAAAAAAAAACAACTGCAAGAAAAGATTACAAAAAAAATGAAATGATCTGAAACTCACGAAAACCAGCCAATGCCACAGCCAAAGCATGAAAAGGCTGTGTCATCCAACCCAATGCATCACACCAACATTTTCAATCTTCAAAAGAACTATCCATGAAATCACAATCTTAAAAAGCAAATGAATAGTGCCAATGACAAAACATTTTTTTCCCTTATTTACCTGCAATACATGTTTTTTTCTGAGTGGACTTCCCATCATTCACTCGAAAGATTTATACAGAAAAAAAAAAATGAAAAGAAATCGTATATGTAAGATTTATAAAAGAGAAAAGGGGCGGTTTCCCTCTTCTAAACCGAAATAAACTGTCACTCTTGTTCATTTCACAAAGGTAGCAGTTTTCATGTTTAAATTATAAATTTTATTTAGTGAATATTCAAAAGTTTTTTCACTTTTGGATTTAATTTACATTATTTTACTTATTAATACTTTTTTTTATTTTTTATTTTTGTTGTATGCCCAATACCACTAGCCACACTTTGGGCATATGGAAAAGAAAGCATTAACAAAAGGAGAATAACTGAATAGTTTTTGTGTATATTATATGCGTCATAATAAAATCTGCTATTAAAAAAATAATATACTGTATATACAATTATAAGATATATACTAACTTATAATTCGTGACATTCCTTGATATCTTGTATTGTTAATAAAGTTTTTTTATATGAATTGTTAATGCTATAATTCGTATCAATCATAGATACCAATTGACCTCGGAGGGACTAAACGAGATGTACGTGTGATACGGATAATCAAAAAGTTTAAACGATATAATAAAGTAAAAAACAAGAGATATTTTATAGTGGTTTAACGGTTATGAAAACCAAAATTATATTCACGTCATGTTATAATTATTGGGGGGTGTTAAAGGGTCAAATAAGATTGCAAAGGAATAATCGTGAGATATGAAACGAGTTTAGTTTCATGATATTTCTTTCTAAACTTCTCTAAAAAGATTAATTATTATCTTCTGACTTTATTGCTATTGGAATCATTCTTGTTCTTTACTTTGCACATCCTTTTGGATTCTGTTAGTTACCTCATAACCAGCCACATATTTTGTTTGATCTATTTGGGATGATTGGATATCTCTGTTGGTACAAATTATCGGATCAATATGAATAATGTTATAATGTAAGTCTCTCTTCTATGTTTATTTAATCTAAATGTAATAATAATATAATATGATATTGGCATGAAATAATTTATGGTTTTTATTATTACAATCTGATTTAATAATTATTAAAGCTTGCCACATCATCTATTTTAATTATTAATTTATTTTATCTTAACTTTAATTGCTAATAACTAACTGAGATGATAAGAAAAAAATCTGGAATAAATAAAAAAAAAAGGTAAAGTCAACAACCATAGTGAATCACGAAGAGAAACAGCAATCCAACGGTGTGAGAATCTCCCAACTCTAATTAATGAAATAAAAAATGAAAATAAAAGCCCAACCCAAACATTCATTAAAAAAATAAAAAAATAAAAAAAATTCTCTCTCTTCCTCCTCTCTCTAAACTCTAAATCTCTATCAAAACAAAAATGGAAACCTAACGACGCGCAACAACTACCACAACTCAGCTCCTACTACCACCACCACCACCTCCACCACCTCCCCTCCCCAACAACCACCTCGGGCACTGCCCCTCCACCTCGCCCACTAATGGCCTGCTTCCTCCCCCTCCTCACTCGACACACACGACGACGGCGCTGGGTCCCACCACCACCAACACAATCCAATGGTGTACCCTCACTCGTCGCGTCTTCCGCCGTGACCTCCCCGCTGGAGCCGGCGAAGAGGAAGGTGGAAGAACAGAAGTACGGGACGCCGGAGCAGGCCTTAGCGGCCAAGAAACAGCGTCGGCTTCTAACTCCAAAGAGAAGAGAGAGCAACAACAACAAGAAGGCCTGTTGGGTTCCACTCTTCGTCTTCGTTCTCTAAGAAGTCTCAGCTTGTCGGTTTTGGTGGGTGTTTTCGTAAAGTTTACAACTTTATAGTCTTTTTTGATAGCCTGTTAATTTCGGTGGTTTTTCTGAAAATTTCATGTTTCACGCTACTCTATGTTAATTGGGGTGTTTTTGCAATCTGGGTTAGTCTGATCTTTGTGGGTTTCTCTAAATATTTTATTTTTCTTGGGAATATTGTGAATTGGATGGTTGTTTTAAATTATACCAGTGGTGTGTTTTGCTTTAGTGTAGGGTGTCACTGTGAAAACATAGACGTTTGAGTGCGTTTCTGAGATTTTTTTTTTTTTGTACGCGTTGAATTTGTTGGTTTTTTTAATTCTACCTTTTTAGGCTTTTCAATGCTTAATTGCTAGTACATTGAGTTTAGTGGGTCAAATTGCTAAATCCTTGAAATGCTGAGGAATTGTTCTGAGTTCTTCTGACTGCTGTGGTTTGCTCTGATTCCAAGATTGATGTGTAAAAAATTTGTGCATGAATTTACCCATGTTGGTGGTTACAAAGCTTTTTGTTTTTGTACATTTTTTGTTTTCATGGTTAGCCAAGCTTCAGTTCCTTTTTTTGAATTGGAAAGGGTTTTAAAATTTTTCTTCTTAGATGATTAAGGATGTTATACTTTGAGTCTTTATATCGTTGCTGTGAACCATAATGCTAACTGAGAGCATGCTATAAATGCCATTACAGGTTATTATATTGATTCTAGTAGCGTTTAATGCATGGCGATATGTTTGTCACTGTTGTATCCTAGCTGTAACATAATGCTGGTTGAGTGTTTGAATTAATTTCTTTGCATGGTTAGTATGTTACCATGCTGAGATTGTATTAGCCTTTTCGTATACTTTTAAGTGGTGGATTTGGGAATGTCTAGTAACCTGCGAAGTTGGTTTATGTCACAGTTCTTTCTCCTTTTCTCATTTAATGGGAGAGAACAATTCAGGGCCCTCTTATTAATGTTTGACTAACCATATGATCTAGCACTTATGTTTCACTTTCGAGAATATTTTGTTTTGTATATTTTTCTTTTACTCTGCTTATAGTATTGCAATATCATTACTTTGCCAATGTAAAATGGTTGTATTTTATATATGTTGTATAGTTCAAATAGGGTTTGGGCTTCAGTATTTCCTATTGAGGTTGAGGTATAACTTAGAAACTTGTTGCTCTTTAAATTATGGATGCAGGAAATTCTGGGCAAGGTTTTACTCCTCATGTCATTAGTGTAGTTGCTGGTGAGGTACGCATTATCTGAGTTCTAAATTTTTCTCATGTTGAGGTATATATGTACTCAATGTTTTAATTGTATGAAAACACGTTTATGTATAGAGTTTGCTCTATCTTAGAAGTTCTTAATTTTTATTTAAATTGTGTAGCATGACGTGAAAAAAATATCTAAGTAGGTCACTCTACTGTCTTTGTAAAATTTTAAAGGTTTTGTATTATACCATAAATGTGTTGTTATGTAATTGACTGAAGAAAGATTCTTGATGGTGTGCTTATTCTTATTAAAACATTAGGCAAAAACTGTTTCCCCTGGTTTGTTTAGCCTTTTAAAAGGTCTGATTATTTTACTTAGGGTCTGCTTGGGAGTTTTTCTAGTGGTGTTTGGGGGGTTTTTAATTAGATTGGTTTTGAGGTGTTATGAAACTATATGCCAGATTTTTATGCACTGGTTTGACTTGCTCAAAAACCCGCAGAAATGGTATAGTGTATTTTTGAGGGGTTTTATTGGGGTGTTTTGGTTTGGTTTTAAAATTTTATTCTCAAATACTCTATCCACTACAAAACCATCCCAATTATATCCCCAAAAATATTTTACTATATTATACACCTTTCTAATATATTAAATATAAGAAATTTAAGCAATCATTAAAAAAAAAAAAAAATAATATATATATATATATATATTAAAAACTACATTCTAGATGCTTTCTTGGAAGAGTGGAGCTAACAATTTTTCAATCATTCCAAAAGGAGAAAGAGACTTTATCACTTGAAGTTATTGTGAAGAAATATTTTTCTTGTGTATTTAATGAAATGTACAATGAATTTATAGCAAAACAAAAAAAACTAATATAGGAAGTAATTTTATTCATTCCTATCTAATTCATTTCCTATTCCTATTATAATTCTATTTCCATATTACAATGAGAATATTCTATTTCCTAATAAACAAAGAGAAAATCTATTTTCTATTTTACATTTCAACACTCCCCACAAGTGGAGCATTAAGTCTTATGCACCAAGCTTGTTACAAATAAAATCAAACGAGAACCCTTGAGAGATACTTAGTGAGGATGTCTGCTAACTGGGTCGTTGGAACTGACTAAACTAGTTGCAATACACTCTGATAGAACTTTCTCTCGAACAAAGTGACAATCAATTTATATGTGTTTTAGTCCTCTCATGAAACACTGGATTTGAAACAATATGAAGGGCACGCTGATTATCACAGAGTAACTTCATTTGTGATACTTCGACAAATCTCAACTCTTGAATTAGTTTTGTAACCAAACCAGCTCACAAGTGGCTAAGGCCATTGCACGATACTCTGCTTCAGCACTTGACCTTGCAACAACCGCTTGTTTTTTACTCCCATGAAACTAGGTTTCCTCCAACAAGAGCACAAAATCCTGAGGTGTAGAACGTCTATCAGATGGAGAACCTACCCAATCAGCATCTGGAATATCTCCCCCACAATTTGCAAATGACCCTTATTTTCATACAGTAAGCCTCTACTTGGTGCTCCCTTGATATACCTTAAAATCTGGACAACTACATCCCAATGACTATCACACGGAGTTTGAAGGAACTGACTTACAACATTGGCAGAAAAGGAAATATCCGGTCGTGTGATAGTAAGATAGTTAAGTTTTCCAACAAGTCTTCGATACTTTCCAGGATCAGCAAGAGGCTCCCCCTGTCCAGGTGAAAGTTTTAAATTAGGATCTATAGGAGAGTCTATTGGTCTGCAATCTGACATCCTTGTTTCCTCTAGAATATCCAGTACATACTTCCTTTGAGAAATAACAATACCAGATTTAGACTGAGCGACTTTTATGCCAAGAAAATATTTGAGTAGCCCTAAGTCTTTCGTTTGAAAGTGTTTGAACAAGTGTTGCTTCAACTGTCCAATGCCATCTTGATCACTTCCTGTAATAACAATATTATCAACATAGGCAACCAGATAGATACACTGCCTTGATGATGCATGTCTATAGAAAACAGAGTAATTAGACTCACATCGAATCATACCAAACTCTTGGATAATTGTGCTAAATCGTCCAAACCAAGCATGAGGAGACTGTTTTAGACCATATAGAGAACGACGAAGTTTACATACCAAACCAGACTCCCACTGAGCAACAAAACCCAGAGGTTGCTCCATATAAATATCTTCCTGAAGTTCACCATGAAGAAAAACATTCTTAATATCCAATTGATGCATAGGCCAGTTTCGAATGGCAGCCATAGCAAAGAACAACCGGACGGAAGACATCTTAGCAACAGGAGAAAAAGTGTCAAAATAATCTGTCCCATAGATCTGAGTGTATCCCTTGGCCACCAAACGGGCTTTCAGCCGATCAACCTTACCATCTGGACCAACCTTTATAGTGTAAATCCATCGACAACCAATAGTCGAATGGCCTGGAGGTAAGGAAACTAACTCCCAAGTATGATTATGATGCAAAACAGACATTTCTTCAACCATTGTCTGACGTCACCTGGGGTGAGAAAGTGCCTCATGAACATGGCAAGGAACAGAAACAGAAGAAAGGGTGGATACAGAGGCATAATATGAAGGATATAAACGATGATAACTCAAAAAATTGTAGATGGGATGAGGGTTGCATGTAGACTGCATACCTTTACAAATAGCAATGGGAAACTGATCAGCTGGAGACAGGACCGTGGCATTGGAGGAATCGGGCACAGGACTAGCAGTGACAGGGATCTCAGGAACGACAGCGGGAACATCAGGATCACCTGTAAAAAGAACAAGACTATTGTTGATAGGAAGAGTGGTATTAGTAGTAGACTGAGGTATCAAAACAGACGAAGGTGGGAAAGCAACGTATGGAATTGGTAGAACATCTACTATCGGATCAGACTCCACTGGAGGATGAGAAAAAAATGGAGAAGACTCAAAGAATGTAACATCAGCAAAGATGATGTAGCGATGTGTGGCGGGAGAATAACATTTGTAGCCCTTCTGAAGACGTGAATATCCTAAGAAAATACATTTTGTAGACTTGGTTGACAATTTATCCTGACCAAGAGGGAAAATGTGAACAAAACAGGTGCTCCCAAAGACATGCGGGGGAAGAGAAAATAATGGAGTATCAGGGAATAATATAGAGTGTGGAACCTAGTCTTGTAAGACAGAAGAAGTAATGCGATTTATCAAGTAACAGGTGGTTAGAACCGTGTCAGCCCAAAACCGGAAAGGGACGTGACTGTGTAAAAGAAGAGTGCGAGCAGTTTAAATAAGGTGTCTATTCTTACGCTCAGCAATGCCATTCTGTTGGGGACTATAAGCACAAGAAGACTGATGAAGAATTCCCTGAGATGTCATGAATTTAGTAAAGGAATCAGAGAAATATTCAAGAGCATTATCACTTAGTAATATACGAATGGTAGTATTATGTTGAGTCTTAATTTCAGCACAAAATGATGAAAATATGGAAAATAATTCAGAACGAGAGCACATAAGAAATAACCAAGTGCAGCGGGAATAGTCATCAATAAATGTAACAAAATATTTAAATCCCAAAGTAGAGTTAACACGATAAGGACCCCACACATCTGAATGCCTTAACTCAAAGGGGGACGCAGCCCGTTTATTGACACGCTTTGGAAAAGAACTACGAGTATGCTTTCCAAGCTGACATGACTCATAACTCAAGGACGATAATTTAGATAAACCTGGGATCATTTTTCGAAGTTTGGAAAGACTAGAATGGCCCAAACGATTATGAAGGAGATCCGGAGACTCGGAGACAATGCATGCTGTAGATGGGATATGGAGATGATAGAGACCCTGTGACTCACGTCCTGTGCCAATCATCCGTCCCGTGTCGCGATCCTGTATAACAACAGAGTCAGTAGCAAAACGAATAGAGCAATTTAAGGAGCGGGTAAGTTTACTAACAGACACGAGATTAAATGGACATTTGGGAATATAAAGCACAGAGTCTAATGCTAAGGAGGGGAGGGGTTTTGCACATCCAATAGCTTGAACATCGGCTTTAGACCCATTGGCTAAAGTAACAGGAGGTAAAGATATAGTATTTATAATCTGAGTAAGTAAACGAGGGTTACCAGAAATATGATCTGAGACACCTGAATCTAGGGCCCAAGGTCCTAAAGCGGAAGACTGAGAAAGGCAAGCAACTGAATTACCCGTTTGAGCGATGGAGGCAATGGATGAAGAAGACTGCTTATTGGCCTGATATTGTAAGTATTCATCATAATCAGTACCTGTGAGAGTTAAGGAGGGCTGAGCTGGCACTGTAGAGGATTCAGAATGAAGATCAGAGTGATCAGCCTGAGCAATATTAGCAGCTCGGGTAGGTCGACCATGTAACTTAAAACATTTCTCTCTAGTATGCCCCCACCGATGACAATAACTACATTTGGGCCGATTTCCTTTGCTATTTCGATCGCCCTGTTTTGGAAAAGTGTGGGACTAAGAAACAAGGACCGAAGAGTCACCTGGGGAATGCACAGTAGTAGGGGAGGAAACCCGAAGTAATATGGCAAACACTTCATCAAGGGAAGACACGGTGGATCTAGAAAGAATTTGATCTCGAACAGGTGTAAGATCTGGACCAAGAGCTGCAAGTGTCAGGACCATAAAGAACTTGTCTCGTTGAGCCAAATCTTCTGCCGCAGATTTACCAGCTGGTAACAGCAGATTGAATTCTGTCTTAAGGGAAGCCATCTTACCAAGGAAGTTCGACATATTCATATCCTGTTGTTTGAGATGAACTAGGTTGGAAACAACAGAATATAAACATTGAATGTCATTGGTATAGAGAAGTTTAGTCTGACTCCAAATATCAACACAAGAGCGGTAAGATTTATAAATAGGGTGAAGGGGGGGATCAATAGTTTGTCATAACATACTACACAACATAGCATCAATTTTAGTCTAGGAAGACCTATCCGACATAATATTGGCAGCTTTGGTGGTCAAGTGATCCTCCAGACCTTGACCCATACACCATAATTCGACAAAGGCAACCCATGATGAATAATTAGCAGTCCCAATTAATCGCTCAGTGGTGATGGGAGGGAGAGATACAAAAGAAAAACCACTTGCATGCAAAGGAGAGGCTGTTTTTGAAGAATCCATGAAGTCTTGAAACTGACAGAAACACAGAAACTTACACTTGCCGGAAAAACTGAACACTCGCTGGAAAACAGATCAGAGCAGAAGCTGACGGAAACACCTTGAAGGGGTTTGCCGGCGAGGTGGAGAGGAACAAGATGCCGGTGGTGGTGAGAACTCACGCTTGTTGGAAAAACAGATTGGAGGAGGGGCTGCCGGAAAAACAATCGGCGCGTGCAGCGGCAGCCGACGACGAAACCACTCGGGTTAGGACGACGAGGAGAAGACGATCAGTCCGGTGTGATTGGACCAGATTCTGATCGTTGCCGGAAAAAAAAAATCTGAGAAAGAGAGAAATTTTTTTGAAATTTCAAATACCAAGCTTTGATACCATGTGAAGAAATATTTTCTTGTGTATTTATAATGAAATGTACAATGAATTTATAGCAAAAACAAAAAACTAATCTAGGAAGTAAATTGTTACATTCCTATTATAATTCTATTTCCTATTCCTATTATAATTCTATTTCCTATTTTACAATGAGAATAATTCTATTTCCTATATTACAAAGAGAATAATTCTATTTCCTATTTTACATTTCAACAGTTATAAAATACTATTAAGGAGAAAACAAATTAAGAATCCTTACCTTGTAATTGAAAAAATAAAACTCTCAAGTACTGATTGAAGTTTGGGTATTTTTATGGGTATATATGTAAATTTATCATTTTAAAAAACTGTTAGAACGACTGAAAATAAACTCCTAATCGCAGGTTGGGTGTTTTACAAACTGTTACTAAAACCCTTCAAAACCGCTACTGTGGTTTATGTTTAAAACCATTACGGTGGTTTACCCTCATAACCGTTACCATGAAACTCTCAAGCGGACCCTTAGTGTTTTAGTCTTTATCTGTCGTGGATCCAGGTAGAATATCAAAAGTGAAGTTTGATGTATTTGAAGTTAATTTTTTTCTTATCCTTCTTAAGTGGCACTAAAGATGGTCATGGGAAGCAGAGTGCTCCTTTAACTGATTTTTCTATTTTATTTTAATCTGTTTTCTCATTGTCTCTAATTATAAATTCAAAATTGAACTTTACCTGATTACATGATCTTCTTTCTCTCTTGCCTTTTTTTAAATTTTTTTCCTGTTTAATGGGATTAAATTTTTAGAATGGGCAACTTGCATGTGAACTGTGTACATTCAGCAATTATGGGAATCGTTTGACAGTGTCATTGTCCTTTTTTTGGTAAAGTGGTGGTGAGATATGACATAATGTTAATAATCTTTGTCTTTAGTTTTCCAGTCTTCTGCATTGTGGTAAAGCTTTCTATTTTAGAACATTTCATTAAGATTATGGTTTCTTTCTGGCCAGATTCTATTTACTTATCTTCTTTCTTTCTTCCATCTTATCTTTAAAAATTGAAAATCTCCTGTCTTGACCAAGTTTGTTTTAGTAATCTTTGTCTTTAGTTTTCCAGTCTCATGCATTGTGGTAAAGCTTTCTATTTTAGAACATTTCATTAAGATTATGGTTTCTTTCTGGCCAGATTCTATTTACTTATCTTCTTTCTTTCTTCCATCTTATCTTTAAAAATTGAAAATCTCCTGTCTTGACCAAGTTTGTTCTAAGGTGGTGAACTTGTTAGCACTAATGTTAGTAATCTGTAAGATTAATATGTTGATGATCGAAGTGATCCTAGTGATATATTAGTCACTGACTGTTGAAATCTCTGAGACTCTTTCCTTTCCCTGTATTTGGAAACTGAGATATAGTAGTGGGAGTATCCTATCCCATCGTCTTTATGGTAGTCAAATGGCAAAATTTTGATTGTACGAGATGTGATAATACCTTTTTTTCCCCTTATTAAGCCTATTTTTATTTTTTCCTCATTCATTACCAACCTCAAACTGTAATTATACTTCTCAATTTGATGGCATTGCTGACAGAATTAAATACAGTTAAATTACAGATGTTGGAGAATGAGTGATTTCTTGATTTTGTTCTAGTGTATGAATAACAACATTGTTGACTTTTATTTTATTTTAGTGGTTATTACAATATAATGGTTGTTGCTTATCTAGTAGACAGGTTTAGGTGCTAATAGAGGTTTATATAAAATGAATCAATCCCTTGCTTCTGTTTATCTGTCTCCCCTCTGACACAATAAATGGATCCATTGAATAGGATGTTTCACAGAAAATCATGATGTTCATGCAACAAAGTAAGCGTGAGATATGTATTCTGTCTGCATCTGGTTCGATCTCTAATGCATCTCTGCGGCAGCCAGCAACATCAGGGGGTAATATTACATATGAGGTAATTTTTTATGTTATTTTTTCATTTTGCAGTTGTATTTATAACTTTTTTGTTGACTTTCCATGCATGGAATTTTTTGCCCATAGAAGAAGCAAAAACAAATAGGGAAATGAGAAATAGCTGCATTTGAAAGTCTCATGTGTACTATAGTTTAAGGTTGCTGTCATTTGTTTCTTCATCAAATTGCAGTAAGATGCTTCTGTAATGTGTGCAGTAAGGAAGACATAATTTTATTTGAGAGAATTTAAGACAGATGGTTTCTATTAAATTACCTATAGGATGATTGTTTAGTGGGTGCAGAAAGGCAAAATTACATATAGAGGTTGAAGCACCACTGTATGTTTAAAACATAATTTAGGTCCCTTCTGGGGAGCAAGCTCTGACAGAAGCATGTCAACTTTCAAGGAAGAGCCAAAGTTGAGATTATATCACTGAATTCTGACAATCAGGGACGGAGGGAGGGGGGGTCAAGGAGGGTCAGTTGACCCTCTTTAAGTTCTGATTTTTTTTGACTAATTTTACAAGTTTGCCCCTTAATGAAAAATAAATTACAAAAATTCTCCAATCTATCAAATAAGTTAAACTCTCATTTTTCATTTTGGGCTGTCAAAACTAAACCTCTCTTCCTCTACTTCCCAGACCGATCCTCTCTATTGCCCATAACTGATTCAACAACTTAGGTTTCAAATTTTTTCCTAAATTTCTATTTCTTTATCTACACAAATGTAGCTTTCTCCCACCTATCAAGCCAACAAACCTTTTTTTCTTCAATTTGTTAGGTAATACTAATACTAATACATTTTATATTTGTATTCTTTTATTTTGAAAGTTTAAGGTTAAATTATAGATTAGGATTTAGGAAGATGAAATTGCCATTGGGACCACAAATTGTACCCATATTTTTATAATATTCTAGATATGCAACTTTAAGAGTTGAATAATCGTTTCAATGAGTTAAACACTGAATTGCTTATTTGTTTAACATGTTTATGTCCAAATGAATCATTTGTTGCTTTTGATAAACAAAAAATGATGCGCCTTGCTAAACTTTATTCAAAAGATTTTTCTGACTTAGAACTCATGACACTTGATTCTCAACTTGATGTTTACATTTTGGATATGCACTCTAATGTCAAATTTATGGGATTGAAAGGAATTTGAGATCTTGCAAAAATGATGGTTGAAACTAAGAAGGACAAAGTGTTTCCATTAGTTTATTTGTTGATGAAATTAACATTGATTTTACCCGTTGCCACTGCTAGTGTAGAGAGAGCATTTTCAACAATGAATTTTGTGAAGAATCGTTTGTGAAGTAGAATGAGTGATTAATGGTTGAATAATAACTTAGTTGTGTATATAGAGAAATATATATTTGATAGTATTGATAATGAAGTCATTATGCAATACTTTCAAATGATGAAATCCTGTTGAGGATAATTATAAATACAAAACTTGTGTTTATTTTAATTTAAAATTGTATTGTTCTTTCAACTTTGACCCCCTTACATTTCATTTCTAGTTGCGTCCCTGTTGACAGTTACACAAATTATTAATAGCAAACTTGATTTACTCTGGATCTATTTATGTTTTTTGAAGCTCCAAGTTAAAAATAAAAATAAAAAATAAAAGCCTTAAATGGGGCTTGTGAATCAGTAGAAGCTTTTGATAATATGTAATCATGGTGAAAACATACTGTAATGAGTATTAAAGAATTATCATAAGCGTCTAGTTGTGTCTTTAGTTCAATAATTAGATCATACAATTGGTGAATTTGGTATTTGTTTCTTTAAACATTATTTTGAAGGACATATATATGATTTAATTCAGATGCTGAAGCCAATATCACCTCAAATCTAGACACAAATATATGCCATCAGGTGCCATTAATCCTTAATCTTTCAAAGATATGGTTGCTGTTCAAGTTTGTTGCAATACCTGGGTTTAAGTACCATACGTAAACTGCCCAATGACAGTTTTTTTAACAGCTGATTGTTATCATACCTTTGAGAGTACTCAACATTGTTTGAATAATAGTTATTAGTAGAATCATTTCAAGTTCAATAATATTTGAGCTTCTATGTTCGCACTGGTCCAATAGTTGCTGAAAATATACCCTTGTCTGTATTTTCTTTAAGATTGTATCTTTCTTCTGTTTAAGTTGATTGTACCAAAAAAGAAACAAAAATGATATATATACGTGTATCAATTATTTGATATTTTAAAAAATATAATTTTCTCTTTCAAACTCTGACATTAGGGTCGTTTTGAGATCATTTCATTGTCTGGGTCCTATGTGCGGACGGAAATTGGAGGAAGGACTGGTGGGCTTAGTGTTTGCCTATCTAGTACAGATGGCCAGATCATTGGAGGAGGAGTTGGTGGACCCCTAAAGGCTGCCGGTCCAGTTCAGGTAATGTACAAAATCTGCAATTGGTTTGATGAAATTTCTGATCTGTCTGTAAGAGAGATTGGTTCTTTAGCTGATTAATCATTTTCTTGCTTATTGAATCTACAGGTTATTGTTGGTACCTTTCAGATTGACCCTAAGAAGGATGTTAATGCTGGTTTAAAAGGTGATGCTTCTGGCAGCAAGTTGCCATCGCCAGTTGGCGGGGCATCAGTATCAAGTGTTGGCTTCCGCTCACCAGTTGAATCTTCTGGGAGAAATCATGTCCGAGGAAACGATGATTTTCAAACTATTGGAAGAAGTCATTTCATGATTCAACCTTCTGGTATGCATGTGTCTCCTTCACAGACAGAATGGAGGAGTAGCCTGGATGCTAGAACTTCTGCTGATTATGACTTGACAGGTATGTTCTTTCTCTTTGAAAGGGGTTGGGAGGAGGAGTGAGAGGAAGAGGAAAAGACTGAAATGTTATGTTTTCTTCTGCAGGAAGAGCAGGGCGTGGAGCACATCAATCTCCCGAAAATGGGGACTATGACCAAATTCCAGATTAGAAATTGTCTTTGAAGCATGAAGGTACTATTTTGCGGTAGATATATCTGACTCATAGGTGCTTTTGCAAGATCAAATAGATGTACAACTCCCTTTGCACACTGTCAAGAATGTGGTATCATGTCTGTACAGATCAATGGTACTCTTTTACTCTTTGTCAGCTGATGGTATTCAAATCTTGCACCATATTACAAATTTCCCCTGACTGAATTTATTTACAAATTTTTCATGTCTCCATTGCTATTCGAGCATTGGCATATGTATATTTGAGTTCTTGGCTATTTCCCTTGTATCACTAGTAGATGGAGGTTAAATATAGCGACTTGTCTTCAAGAAACATGCTTATGCAACTTGGGATGCATATAATATGCACATAATGGCTGTCTGGTCTCCATCCAGGAAAAGTAGAAGATAACTTTAGGTGTTGTTTGGTTGTGCTGTTTGAAAGAATCCTTGACTGTATGCCACTTTCGGTTTCTTCATGCATAGAAGTCAACCATATTTGGTAGATTTCTATCCCGAATACAGTTACTAAAGCTGGCTGTGCATAGCGATGGTGGTGGTGGCGGTGCTGAGAAGTGACAAGTGACATGGACAGATTGTTTTGAAGGGTGAGGTGGGCGTGGTAATGGGGGTTTTGTATAGACTTGGAAGGAAGACATTGACAATTAACTCTTGGGACTCAGCACCAGCTACTTTATTACAGATGTTGAAATGGCATGTAACCCTATTGTGGCATGGAAAGTCATCTATCTTGATAGAAAATTTAATTAAATTTAGAGACTGAGAGAGGTGCATTTTAGGTGGGGTTTCCAATAATGTAAAAGAGTCTGACGTTGAAATCATTTTCTAAATACTGCCAAGACATTTGAGAGAATCGGTCTCTCTCTCTTCCTTTTTAATAAAGAAAAAGCCTCTTACTAAACTTTTATTTAATTCATCGTTCTATGAATTGTGATTTGTCCCATCATCATTACTAATATAATTTCATCTCAATTGATTGTGAGACTTCAGAATTATTGATTAATTGATCTTGAGACTTTAGAATTATTAATGGGATAAGAATTTCGATAATTATCTTTATTAGTATCCTATCAGAGATTCGAACTCAAAACTTTTTTAAGTAATACATTCAAAAATCTTTATTAAATGATTTGGATATTCAAAGATGGTTATATTAGTTTGGATATCCAAACTAGTTAGTAGTTATATTAAATGATTCAAGATTTATATATTATTGATAATGGGTTCTTTAATTCTTGTATAACATCCAATTAAGTGAGATGACATCCTTTGACTTGATCCACCTTATCCACAAACTCATCACATTCACTCTCATTGAATCATAGTCCTCTAATTACACTGTTTACACCTAATTATAAGCTCAAATTCATGATATTAATAATTAATATTGATTTTTCTGAAAGAAGAGGAAAAGCGTGTAATTAATGAGTCATCTTCCTCCGATTTCAACCAGTCAATCATTGGCATAACCGCCATTGACAAACCTTGAATGTTACGGTCCAATCAAGCCACGTCATCCAATACCCCACCCATAGATCTTCTTTACGAAATCAATTATATATTTTAATAAAATGTCACACAAGCAAATAAAAATTATTTCTTTTATGTTCCGAATGTCTAGGTTCTCTTCACCTTCTACCGTGGATCCCCACACTTCAAATCCTTCACTCTTGAGTACTTTTTCTTCTGTAAATAGTTGTCCTCCTGTTTTTGGAAATCTAGCTAGCTTTCAGACTACTTTTTCAACATTTTTTTCTTTTCTTTTCAGCTTTCTCTCCCTAAGACTCTAATTTACCATTTACTTCAACTTAAAGACTCAAAGAGATAGAAACCTCTTGGTTTTTTCTTTATTTTCTTCTTACCCTTTCTAGATTTCTTCTTCTTAATCTATTCTAGGTGGTGGATTCTTTTCAATTTTTTTTTTTGGCTTAGAAAGTTTTTTTGGATATAAATATATGATTAGTTGTTGACTTAAGATTGCAGATTGATAGTAAGTTTGCTGCAGAAGCTTGAGGTCTGTGTTCTTTTAACTTGGACAACTTTTTCTAATCTCCTTTGATCGGTACTTTCTTGTGAAGTTTGATTCATTATTTTGCTTTAGTACTGTAGTGCTGGAGGAATCATAGTGTTTTTGTTTTTAGTTTCTTGGTTATACAAGGTAAGAATTGTCAAAGCTATTTGATTAGAGATTGGAAAACTAGAAAAGAATGAATTTTATGGCGATAGAGGCAGATGAGTGTGTTAGATCTTGAAATCTATTGGATCTTGAATAGTAGAATATTGGTCTTATGATATTTGATGGTTAGGGTTTCTTTGTTGAGTTTTCTTGAGGTGAGTTAGAAAAGGAAACTTTGGGTTCTAAGAAAATAGTTGTTTTCTTTGCTTCTTAGTTAGTTCGTTGTTTCTATGAATGAATTAGAGAAATAGTTACTTGGGTGCAATGTTAAGGGTATTAATTCTTGGATTCTTGATTTATTACCTTGGGATATATGTTTCTGCCAGTGATAATGAGTATCCAAGTTGTAATTGTGATGATGAGGGTCATTGGAGTATACAAACAATTCTTGATTTTCAAAAAGGGAGTGATTGCTTGATAGCAATAGCCTATTTTTCGATACCCATTGAACTCCTTTACTTTGTTAGCTTTGCAAATGTACCATTCAAATGGGTCCTGTCATTGTTTATAGCGTTTATAGTCCTTTGTGGATTGACCCATTTGCTCAATGCGTGGACTTTATATGGCCCTCATTCATTCCAGTTAATGCTGATCCTCACAATTGCTAAATTCCTTACTGCCCTGGTATCTTGTGCAACTGCTATAACCCTTTTGACTTTAATCCCTCTCCTTTTGAAATGGAAAGTGAGGGAGTTGTTTTTGAAGCAAAATGTGATGGAATTAGGGCAAGAAGTTGGGATGATGATGAAGCAGAAGGAAGCAAGTTGGCATGTTCGGATGCTAACTCGGGAAATTAGGAAGTCACTTGATAAGCATACAATATTATACACCACTTTGGTGGAGCTTTCTCAGACTTTGGATTTACACAATTGTGCGGTTTGGATGCCTAGTGAAAATAGAACGGAGATGAACCTCACCCATGAGCTAAAAGCGAGATCTTCAAATAATTTTCACCTTTCTATCCCAATTAACGATCCTGATGTGCTGAAGATAACAGAGAGCAAAGGGGTCTGCATTTTGGGGCCAGATTCAGCACTTGGGCTTGCAAGTCGTGGTGGTTCTGATGATTCAGGTGCTGTGGCAGCAATCCGGATGCCAATGCTTTGTGTTTCAAACTTCAAAGGGGGAACACCAGAATTCGTTGATACTTGTTATACTATACTTGTTTTGGTTCTTCCAAGTGCAGATTCTAGGGTTTGGAGCATTGAGGAAATGGAAATAGTGGAAGTAGTCGCAGATCAGGTAGCTGTAGCTCTTTCCCATGCTGCAGTTCTTGAAGAATCTCAGCTAATGAGGGAGAAACTAGGTGAGCAGAATCGTGCATTGCAGCAGGCTAAGGAGAATGCAATGATGGCAAGCCAGGCAAGAATTTCCTTCCAGAAGGTGATGAGTCGTGGGATGAGGAGACCCATGTACTCTATTTTGGGTCTGCTTTCAATGTTTCACAATGACAATATGAGCTTTGAGCAGAAGATTATTGTTGAAACCTTGGTTAAAACCAGCAACGTTCTCTCAACTTTGATTAACGATGTGATGGATATTTCGGCTAAAGATGATGGAAGGTTCCCAATAGAGATGAGGCCTTTTCGGTTGCATTCCATGCTTAAGGAAGCTTCTTGTCTTTTCAGATGCTTGTCTGTTTATAAAGGCTTTGGCTTTGGACTAGATGTTCAGAGCTCCTTGCCTGATCAGGTTATAGGTGATGAGAAAAGAACTTTTCAAGTGATTTTGCATATGGTAGGGTATCTATTCAGAATCTATGAGGGAGGGGGAACTGTTATTTTTCGGGTGTTCTCAGAGAGTGGTAGTCAGGACAAGAACGAGAAAATGTTGGTAATGAGGAGACCAAGCGTGCCAGACACCTATGTGTATATAAAGTTTGAACTTGAGATTAAAGAGGTTAATTCTCAATCTGATGGATCAAACTCAACCAAACTTTTGCCTGGCTGGGGACAGAATAGTAATGAAGTTAAGGAGGGCCTGAGCTTCAACATGTGCAAAAAACTTGTGAAGGTGAGCTTCCCAAATGCTTTGTCTATAAGTTTGTTTTCCTACCTTTGACATTTTTGCATCATAATGATCAAGCTTATTAGGGGGCAAACATCCTATGTAATGAAATATTGCATTTTTTTCCCCACTGCATATGGATATGGTAATGACCAATTTTGAGCCTAAAGAGAATCATTCAAAAAGTTAAATGAATTAACAACATTCCTGTTCCCTCACTGCATTTGTTGCTGTAAATTCTTTTTATTCTTCTTTTATGTAGTCATTAAGAGTAGGATTTCTGTGCTATAAGTGCAATTTGGTGAGGGTGGAACCATTTTCTATGCATGAAATGTCCCAAACATGTCCTTTTTACATGGCCAGCTTATATCTGTTATTCTTAGATCAGAAAATTGAAGAAATTTCTGTGTCTAACCAGGCTACATACTGAGTTGTTTACTTAAAGCTCAATATCGTTTGCATTTATATAGCTAGTTTAATAAATTAGACAGATCAGCAAGGTTTTATCTTGTATCAAACTTGTACATTCTCTTGATGAACCAGGGATGCAAGATTGAACTGATATCTTGTTCAGCTGATTGTTTTAGATTCAATGCACCATTTTGACCTTGCTGTTGGTTTCTCTTTCTATCAATCTTTAGGGGAATCATTCTTCCTTTTATTTCTTGCTTTATAAACGAGAAGAAAAGTTACAGAAGTTCATGGGTTCTCTCCCCTAAAGTGAAAACCACAAAATTTGATTTTTATTTTTTGATTGATTGATTGATTGATAGATTTATTTATTTTTTGGCCAAAGAGCCGCATAGTTTTTATCTATAGATGACCGGTTCAGATGAATCAGATAATTTAATCAAACAGAAGTATCTAGGAAGCATTCACTTCTGCTTTAGTTGGAGCAGACTTGATACTCATGTGAAATATCCTGCTTGTTCATGTAGTGTATAACCCGTAATGAATCCGATTAATTTAACACTATAGTTAAACATGTTTGAGTTCAGGTTGACCTATAGAACTTGAAATCGATCAGATTGATTTATTTTGTCTGGTTGACTCTTTATGATCCGAGATATATTAGCTTGTATATTCTTTTTAGAAACTCAAGTTATTGTAGGAATTATAGATGTTTAATCGATCAATCAGTTGTCAAATATGATATCTGTGATTTTCACATTCATAATAATTTGATAAAATATTAAATTATCAAAATGCTTCATTTTTGACACAGTATGAGTACGACTGGCTCTCTTCAGTTCATTGACAACTTACTCTTTAGAACTTTATTTGTCTTGACATTGCAATGCATGCAATGATATTGTAGCATCTCTTGTTATGATAATAATTTTACCTATCTCTAACTTTTCTGTTGAAATATTTATGGACAGATGATGCAAGGTAATCTATGGATATCATCAAATCCTCAGGGTTTTGCACAAAGAATGACACTAGTTCTCAGGTTTCAAATCCAACCGTCATTTGGAAGATCCATAATTACCCATGGGAATTCCTCAGAGCAATCAAATTCCTATCCTCACTTCAAAGGCCTTCGGCTAGTTCTCGCTGACGATGATGATGTAAACAGGACTGTGACCAAAAGGCTGCTTGAGAAGCTAGGTTGTGAAGTAATTGCTGTTTCATCCGGGTTTGAATGCCTTAGTGCACTTACTGTGGCTGAAAACTCTTTTAGAATTGTTGTTTTAGACCTTCACATGCCTGAAATGGATGGATTTGAAGTGGCAATGAGAATCCGGAAGTTTCGAAGCCATATGTGGCCATTGATTATTGCCCTGACTGCAAGTGCTGAGGACAATGTGTGGGAGAGATGCTTGCAGGCAGGAATGAATGGACTGATTCGAAAACCTGTCCTCTTACGCGGGATGGCAGATGAACTTAGAAGAGTTCTGCAACAAGCAGGTGAAAGGGTCTAAAGAGGAAGATTTAGACATTATCTTCCCTTTGATGAATCTAGTCGTCGTCGAGGTCTTCCTTCAATCAATGCGCCTACAAAACCTCAGCGTAGGGGTGTTAAACTTAGCATTCACAGCATTTGGTATACAAAATTGTACCTTTTAAATTTTGCTAACCATTTGGTTCAGTTGGCAGCATTGGTAGAACTACTTAAAAAGGAGTATACCAGGATGTGAAAAAAACTCACATGCTCAACTGATAGTAAGGAACTTTAATAACAATTTCATAGAATTTAAATTATACATACTAGAAATCTCTTTTTACTGGATTCATTTGGCCATATTTCTTTCATTTGTGCATGCAACTTTAATTTGGAGGTTTCTTTTCAGCTTTCTCTCCCTAAGACTCTAATTTACCATTTACTTCAACTTAAAGACTCAAAGAGATAGAAACCTCTTGGTTTTTTTCTTTATTTTCTTCTTACCCTTTCTAGATTTCTTCTTCTTAATCTATTCTAGGTGGTGGATTCTTTTCAATTTTTTTTTTTGGCTTAGAAAGTTTTTTTGGATATAAATATATGATTAGTTGTTGACTTAAGATTGCAGATTGATAGTAAGTTTGCTGCAGAAGCTTGAGGTCTGTGTTCTTTTAACTTGGACAACTTTTTCTAATCTCCTTTGATCGGTACTTTCTTGTGAAGTTTGATTCATTATTTTGCTTTAGTACTGTAGTGCTGGAGGAATCATAGTGTTTTTGTTTTTAGTTTCTTGGTTATACAAGGTAAGAATTGTCAAAGCTATTTGATTAGAGATTGGAAAACTAGAAAAGAATGAATTTTATGGCGATAGAGGCAGATGAGTGTGTTAGATCTTGAAATCTATTGGATCTTGAATAGTAGAATATTGGTCTTATGATATTTGATGGTTAGGGTTTCTTTGTTGAGTTTTCTTGAGGTGAGTTAGAAAAGGAAACTTTGGGTTCTAAGAAAATAGTTGTTTTCTTTGCTTCTTAGTTAGTTCGTTGTTTCTATGAATGAATTAGAGAAATAGTTACTTGGGTGCAATGTTAAGGGTATTAATTCTTGGATTCTTGATTTATTACCTTGGGATATATGTTTCTGCCAGTGATAATGAGTATCCAAGTTGTAATTGTGATGATGAGGGTCATTGGAGTATACAAACAATTCTTGATTTTCAAAAAGGGAGTGATTGCTTGATAGCAATAGCCTATTTTTCGATACCCATTGAACTCCTTTACTTTGTTAGCTTTGCAAATGTACCATTCAAATGGGTCCTGTCATTGTTTATAGCATTTATAGTCCTTTGTGGATTGTCCCATTTGCTCAATGCGTGGACTTTATATGGCCCTCATTCATTCCAGTTAATGCTGTTCCTCACAATTGCTAAATTCCTTACTGCCCTGGTATCTTGTGCAACTGCTATAACCCTTTTGACTTTAATCCCTCTCCTTTTGAAATGGAAAGTGAGGGAGTTGTTTTTGAAGCAAAATGTGATGGAATTAGGGCAAGAAGTTGGGATGATGATGAAGCAGAAGGAAGCAAGTTGGCATGTTCGGATGCTAACTCGGGAAATTAGGAAGTCACTTGATAAGCATACTATATTATACACCACTTTGGTGGAGCTTTCTCAGACTTTGGATTTACACAATTGTGCGGTTTGGATGCCTAGTGAAAATAGAACGGAGATGAACCTCACCCATGAGCTAAAAGCGAGATCTTCAAATAATTTTCACCTTTCTATCCCAATTAACGATCCTGATGTGCTGAAGATAACAGAGAGCAAAGGGGTCTGCATTTTGGGGCCAGATTCAGCACTTGGGCTTGCAAGTCGTGGTGGTTCTGATGATTCAGGTGCTGTGGCAGCAATCCGGATGCCAATGCTTTGTGTTTCAAACTTCAAAGGGGGAACACCAGAATTCGTTGATACTTGTTATACTATACTTGTTTTGGTTCTTCCAAGTGCAGATTCTAGGGTTTGGAGCATTGAGGAAATGGAAATAGTGGAAGTAGTCGCAGATCAGGTAGCTGTAGCTCTTTCCCATGCTGCAGTTCTTGAAGAATCTCAGCTAATGAGGGAGAAACTAGGTGAGCAGAATCGTGCATTGCAGCAGGCTAAGGAGAATGCAATGATGGCAAGCCAGGCAAGAATTTCCTTCCAGAAGGTGATGAGTCGTGGGATGAGGAGACCCATGTACTCTATTTTGGGTCTGCTTTCAATGTTTCACAATGACAATATGAGCTTTGAGCAGAAGATTATTGTTGAAACCTTGGTTAAAACCAGCAACGTTCTCTCAACTTTGATTAACGATGTGATGGATATTTCGGCTAAAGATGATGGAAGGTTCCCAATAGAGATGAGGCCTTTTCGGTTGCATTCCATGCTTAAGGAAGCTTCTTGTCTTTTCAGATGCTTGTCTGTTTATAAAGGCTTTGGCTTTGGACTAGATGTTCAGAGCTCCTTGCCTGATCAGGTTATAGGTGATGAGAAAAGAACTTTTCAAGTGATTTTGCATATGGTAGGGTATCTATTCAGAATCTATGAGGGAGGGGGAACTGTTATTTTTCGGGTGTTCTCAGAGAGTGGTAGTCAGGACAAGAACGAGAAAATGTTGGTAATGAGGAGACCAAGCGTGCCAGACACCTATGTGTATATAAAGTTTGAACTTGAGATTAAAGAGGTTAATTCTCAATCTGATGGATCAAACTCAACCAAACTTTTGCCTGGCTGGGGACAGAATAGTAATGAAGTTAAGGAGGGCCTGAGCTTCAACATGTGCAAAAAACTTGTGAAGGTGAGCTTCCCAAATGCTTTGTCTATAAGTTTGTTTTCCTACCTTTGACATTTTTGCATCATAATGATCAAGCTTATTAGGGGGCAAACATCCTATGTAATGAAATATTGCATTTTTTTCCCCACTGCATATGGATATGGTAATGACCAATTTTGAGCCTAAAGAGAATCATTCAAAAAGTTAAATGAATTAACAACATTCCTGTTCCCTCACTGCATTTGTTGCTGTAAATTCTTTTTATTCTTCTTTTATGTAGTCATTAAGAGTAGGATTTCTGTGCTATAAGTGCAATTTGGTGAGGGTGGAACCATTTTCTATGCATGAAATGTCCCAAACATGTCCTTTTTACATGGCCAGCTTATATCTGTTATTCTTAGATCAGAAAATTGAAGAAATTTCTGTGTCTAACCAGGCTACATACTGAGTTGTTTACTTAAAGCTCAATATCGTTTGCATTTATATAGCTAGTTTAATAAATTAGACAGATCAGCAAGGTTTTATCTTGTATCAAACTTGTACATTCTCTTGATGAACCAGGGATGCAAGATTGAACTGATATCTTGTTCAGCTGATTGTTTTAGATTCAATGCACCATTTTGACCTTGCTGTTGGTTTCTCTTTCTATCAATCTTTAGGGGAATCATTCTTCCTTTTATTTCTTGCTTTATAAACGAGAAGAAAAGTTACAGAAGTTCATGGGTTCTCTCCCCTAAAGTGAAAACCACAAAATTTGATTTTTATTTTTTGATTGATTGATTGATTGATAGATTTATTTATTTTTTGGCCAAAGAGCCGCATAGTTTTTATCTATAGATGACCGGTTCAGATGAATCAGATAATTTAATCAAACAGAAGTATCTAGGAAGCATTCACTTCTGCTTTAGTTGGAGCAGACTTGATACTCATGTGAAATATCCTGCTTGTTCATGTAGTGTATAACCCGTAATGAATCCGATTAATTTAACACTATAGTTAAACATGTTTGAGTTCAGGTTGACCTATAGAACTTGAAATCGATCAGATTGATTTATTTTGTCTGGTTGACTCTTTATGATCCGAGATATATTAGCTTGTATATTCTTTTTAGAAACTCAAGTTATTGTAGGAATTATAGATGTTTAATCGATCAATCAGTTGTCAAATATGATATCTGTGATTTTCACATTCATAATAATTTGATAAAATATTAAATTATCAAAATGCTTCATTTTTGACACAGTATGAGTACGACTGGCTCTCTTCAGTTCATTGACAACTTACTCTTTAGAACTTTATTTGTCTTGACATTGCAATGCATGCAATGATATTGTAGCATCTCTTGTTATGATAATAATTTTACCTATCTCTAACTTTTCTGTTGAAATATTTATGGACAGATGATGCAAGGTAATCTATGGATATCATCAAATCCTCAGGGTTTTGCACAAAGAATGACACTAGTTCTCAGGTTTCAAATCCAACCGTCATTTGGAAGATCCATAATTACCCATGGGAATTCCTCAGAGCAATCAAATTCCTATCCTCACTTCAAAGGCCTTCGGCTAGTTCTCGCTGACGATGATGATGTAAACAGGACTGTGACCAAAAGGCTGCTTGAGAAGCTAGGTTGTGAAGTAATTGCTGTTTCATCCGGGTTTGAATGCCTTAGTGCACTTACTGTGGCTGAAAACTCTTTTAGAATTGTTGTTTTAGACCTTCACATGCCTGAAATGGATGGATTTGAAGTGGCAATGAGAATCCGGAAGTTTCGAAGCCATATGTGGCCATTGATTATTGCCCTGACTGCAAGTGCTGAGGACAATGTGTGGGAGAGATGCTTGCAGGCAGGAATGAATGGACTGATTCGAAAACCTGTCCTCTTACGCGGGATGGCAGATGAACTTAGAAGAGTTCTGCAACAAGCAGGTGAAAGGGTCTAAAGAGGAAGATTTAGACATTATCTTCCCTTTGATGAATCTAGTCGTCGTCGAGGTCTTCCTTCAATCAATGCGCCTACAAAACCTCAGCGTAGGGGTGTTAAACTTAGCATTCACAGCATTTGGTATACAAAATTGTACCTTTTAAATTTTGCTAACCATTTGGTTCAGTTGGCAGCATTGGTAGAACTACTTAAAAAGGAGTATACCAGGATGTGAAAAAAACTCACATGCTCAACTGATAGTAAGGAACTTTAATAACAATTTCATAGAATTTAAATTATACATACTAGAAATCTCTTTTTACTGGATTCATTTGGCCATATTTCTTTCATTTGTGCATGCAACTTTAATTTGGAGTCTTTTTTAGCTCTAATTTCATCTAGGGAGGACAAAACCGGGCACAGACCTCGAATGTGCCCTTTTACTACTTTACTTGACTTGAATATTCGGGTAGTGTAAAATAGTACCCGGTAACCGAACTGGTTTATGCAGTACTCGAATATGTAGGTACCTGAAATTTTGGTTTGGTTATCGGGTACTAGAATGTAAAACCCAAATTTCTTGCAATATTGCTTCCAAACAAAAATTTCTCTCCCAACCATCAAAAAGACAAAAACAACATACAATATTGTAAAGCTAGGGAATCAATTGAGTAAAAAAAATATAGAAATAATTTTTCACAATAAAAATAGCTCAACACAGACAATTATCAAATACCTTTTGTGAATTGGAGAAATAGAGAAATCGATAGAGAGAAATGGAGAAATAAAGAACTGATGCAAGCGAAATCAGTGGAGACTAGAGAGAACATAACTGATGCGAGCTAAATGGAGAAATGAAGAAGAAGATGCGAGTGAAATCAGAGGACTAGTGGAGAGAAAAGAGAAACAGAGAGATTAGTGGAGAGAAAATGATAAATGAAGAAGAATATGGGAAGTTGCGACTGGAGAAATGTAAAGAAACGGAGAAATGGAAAAACGAAGAAGAAGGTTATTTGGGCTTAGGGCAGATTGATTTGGGATTTTACTTAAAGAAAAAAAAAAAAAAACCGGGTTTCGGGTACCCGGATTATATTTTAAATATAACCCGATATCTGAACCGAAAAACTAGGTACCTACTTAAATACTACTCGAATCCAACCCAGTTCTTCGGGTACCCGAAAAATTCGGTTTGGGTTACAGGTATTTATGTCTACCCCTAATTTCATCCTTATGCAAAGGAGAAGGATTGTGCACAGCATATATGTAAAGATGAGTTATTGAAGGGACAAATTACAGCCAACAAATTCTGATTTTACTACTATTGGAATGAATTCTACAAGGTCAAATTACTGTTATACATTTGATAAATTAACCAAGAAAGTTTTATTTTCCATTAGTAGGCTTCCATGTGAAAACTCTGAGCTGGAGAGGCACCTTGTGATTCGCATTAATTATGAGTACTTGCTCTGATGTTACAACACAACACTTGCCAAAGAAGAAGGCAAAATGAGCTACAAGTGTTAACATCAATCAACGTCCTTTCTTTGAAGTTTTCATTGCACCGTTCTTTCACTTCTTCACATGAAAGGATCTGTTTTCTTGCCCCCCCTAGAAGGAAAAGTCTATAAAACATGCAAGACTAACATAAACAATAGTTTGAAATTAACTCTAGCTAGTTTGACGGGTCGTTTAGAATTTTTAGATGTATTATTCGAGAGGTTCTGAATTTGTATCCCCATTATTATTAATAAATGGGTAGTCATTAAAAGCTTACATAACTATTAATTTCAGGATACATAAGCTGGTCCGAACACTCCCAGATGCTAAAAAAAAAATCGATAGTTTGAAGAGAATGCAACAATAATCTTTATATCACTTAACAATCAAGATCATATAACTAACTAACTCATGTTATAGATTACACAATTTATGATAACTAAAAGTCATTTGTACTTAATTCATTGTAATCCAATGAATTTGAAAGAGAAGTGAAAGTATCCAATGGTTTGTAAATCATTGAATTGTCTCAGATTAAGAACCAAACATTTGTGTTTTAGGTGTAGAATTTTGTAGAAGCCCAATCAATAGTTGGTCCATTCATTGGGTTTTGTCATGCATAGTCCACCCCACTTTAGCCCATTTCTATCCTCCGAGATAGCAGTTTGCACTGAATAGAATATAGTAGTTCTATTGGTAATGGGATGAATATCTTTAAATTTTTGAAAATTATAATAAATTCAAAATCTTTTTACAATAAGCATATTAAAATGGTTGATATTGTGATGATAAATAAATATACTAATTGCACTTGAATGTCATCTTCATCTATACAAAAATCACAACGATGAGTGTGGGTGTAACAGCAGAAGCAGAAGAGTATCACTCAAAAGACTTTGAATGGGAAACCTTGAAACAAGAAATTGAAAACAACCCTTCTCTCCATTACCACTTTCTTCCATTCCCTCCTCCTCCTTCTTCTTCTTCTTCTTCGTCTTCTTCACAACAACAACAACAAACTCTCAATGATTCAGATGCTTGGAGAAAGTTTCACAATCGTCACTCAGCTGGCAAGTTCTTCAAGGTTCAAACTTTAAATTATTTGTGCTTTTGTTTGCTTCAATTTGGTTTATTCTTCTATTTCATGTCTTTGTTTCTATTTCCCATGTCACTTATATATTCATTATTGTTAAAAACTGTTGCTTTCTATACTGGGTAGTTTTGGTCGGCATTAAACTACAGAAATGTCATTGACTTTAGAGTTAATATGTAGGTATACTTCATTGATTTTGAAACTTTTCAGGACCGTTTTGTAAAATTATGAAAATCGTTAGAATAATTTCCTGTTTTCATGAAGTTTTTCTGAAACATAGGGAAATGTTTGCTTATTTTTCAAAACAGTTGGGTCTGCTTCTAGAAAATCTAGTCTTAGCTTTGTGAACATAGATTAACTTTCTTCTTCTTCTTCTTCAAAGAATAGATTGGAAAAACGTGTAGTGCTGCTATTTAGTGATTGTTGTTACTGTAAAGAGGTCTGAAAATTATTGGGATTGTATGAAAGAAATAATTAGATGGAAACATTGGTTTGATATGAATACTTTTTTCTTTTCTGATTAATGTTTCCTGATTATGTTGAAGCAGTAAGGACTTCTTTTAGTACTACAGCCTAAATCAGAGACTCTATTTGTTGTTCATTTACGTTTTTTGTCGTTGTGAAGCGAAGTGAAATTGGAATGAATGGCAGGAAACTCTTTTATAGAAGACAATGGGATATAGATTGAATAATATAAAATATGATATAAATGTTTTAAGATTTTAGCCATTAAGTTTTTCCACAAAACCTGCATTTAGTAAATCCATGGTTTGCAAATTTAAACTAAAAGAACATGGTTAAGAAATGTAGAAAGTGAAGTCTATCAGTTCTAAATCATTTCTTTTGTATTTTTATTCGAAATGAACTGAGGAGCCTGTAACCACTACTTGCTGCTGTTTCTGCTTAAAAGCTTTAATAGACAATCTAATTTTACAAATGTTACTGAGTTACCTCTTGCATCAAAAATTTTTAAATTTAAATTTTGATATTTTGGTGTATTAAGTTGCTTCTGCAGCTCCTTGAATTCCTTGGAAAAAGGGACTTCTATTTTATTTTCCTTGTCCTGTTGGCTGATTGCCATCTACTGATGCAGGAGAGACGATATTTGCTGAAGGAATTTCCAGAACTTGTTTCTTGTGGAGAATCTTCAAAACTCTTGGAAGTGGGATGTGGTAATGGAAGTACCATTCTTCCAATATTGCGGTAATCTTACGAGTTTCCTTCTATTAGATTCTGTTTCTTTTGTCTCTTGTGTGTCACCTTTTGGATTATCTGAAAATCATATGGAAATATCTTGTTGTATTCTAAATGCTTTTGTCACAGTAGTTTGAGCTATTCGAAAGGTTAGGTCTTTTTTATGTCTTTATGAAAAAGCTCCTAAAGTTTTTATCTGGGGCCATTCTGCTACCTCTTAGATTAAAGTTAATTCTGATGGCTTGTCAAAGGGAAATCCAGGCCCTTTTGGTTTTGTGTATTTTTTATCGCTGAACGATGACTTTCTTGGTTGTTTAACATCGTACATTGGCATTAAAACAGCCCTCTATGTGGAGTTTATGTCTTCTCCTTTTTATGTGAAAGTAGCTTTTGACAAAGGTTGGATCAATCTTGGATTGAATGTGATCTTTTGACAATTTTATTGATTCTTCATAATAGTTCTTTCTGTCCCCTTGGGATCTCTATACTAGATGGTTGAATTGCAAGCATAGAATCAGATCCATGTATCTCCTATATTTTGAGAGGGTAATCATGCTGTTAATAAAATTGCTAACTGTGGTCTTCATTGTTCTACATTACATGGTGGAGTTCCCCTATAAAACTCTTTGCTTCTTCATGATAGTTGGAGTAGGTCTTCTTACCATATTACATAACTTTTATTTATTTATTTATTTTGAGATGTTTATTTTGTTTCGCATTTTCTTGTTATAGTTTGCATAATATGTTGGTTTGTATTATGCTAGTTATTATGAGTGGTAAGGTTAAGTTTATCTTTTCTTGATTTGTAGTGCCAAAGTTACCAAAAATATATATACATATGAGTTCAGTTTTCACTTTGTCAGAGCAGTTGTGAATAAGTTGTATGTTCCCCATGAAGTTAAAGCTTTTTGAACATGCTTATGATACTCCTAGTGTTCAATTTGCAATTCCTTACAACCACCTCATTTGGATTGTTTTCTTTTGTAGTGGGAACAAGGATATCATTGTGTATGCTTGCGACTGTAGCTCTGAGATTCTTGAAAGGGCTAAAGAATTTGTGGAGACCAGTGATGTAGCCTCAGTTAAGAATCGATTTTTCCCATTCTATTGTGACTTTTGTACAACTGGCTTTCCAGAGTGGTTGGCTTGCAATTATTGCAGAGGAAGTCGACCACAAAAGCAGCATGATTGTTTTTCAGGTTTCTAACTTTACCTGTTTCTTTCCTGTGTTTCATATATGATGTGATTTATATATGGCCTCATTTGTGTCATGAACTTACAATTTCTTTCTGGTATTTCAGATATTGAAGAGAAAAATAGACCACAACTAACATATTTGTCGAGAGAAAGTGACTCTTCCATTGCCGGTGTTGACTTTGTCACCTTGGTATGTGTTTTATTTCCTTGGGAAATCACTTTAATTTGTACAATTGTAGTCTATAGGGCATTACAGGTCATTCGAACATTTCCTCCCTTTTTTCAATCTAGTGTCCTTGATAGTGTTCCAGCTTTGATTATTCCATGATTTTGACACCCTGAGCTTCTGGTTTTAGATTTTCACACTATCAGCAGTACCACTGCAAGGGATGCCCAGAGCCCTCAGAGACTGCTACTCTGTATTGAAGCCCGGCGGCCTGCTCTTTTTTAGGGATTATGGTAATAAATTGTTAACTTACTAAATTACTTTTTGCAGTTAATGCAAAATGTTTGAACTAGTAATTTCTTAAAATCTTCAATTTCTCAGTTCTTTCTTGCTTTGAGTTAGTTTACAATATATCCAGCACTTAATAATAAGGTTCACTTTGATGGACTCAGGCCTATATGACATGACTATGCTGCGATTCGAGCCGGAACAAAGAGTGGGTTTCAGGGAGTACATGCGGTCAGATGGAACCCGTTCTTATTTTTTCTCGATAGATGTTGTCAGGAACCTCTTCGTGGATGCTGGCTTCATTGAGGTACCAGATTCTTAAAATTAGGTTGTTGCAAATTGTAGAATATTCAATGCTGCTGAATTGAAAAATATAAAAACTAAAGAATCTTACATAGTTTGCAATATTGATGGTCATTTTATGCTGTTGGTTCTTTATTGAGTTAATTCTTCTAAAGTCTTAAAACCAAATGAAGATCTTAAGTTACTTACTTCACAAGAAATTACTGAACTAACCACTATTTTCATATTGGAAAGCTTTTATGCATTTATTTACTTATTTTCACTAGTGCTTCTGTTGACTTGCACATTGTTCCTGCAGGTTGAACTTGAGTATTGTTGTGTCAAGTCTGTGAATCGTCGAAATGGGAAGAGCATGCAAAGGGTGTGGGTTCATGGGAAGTTTAAGAAGCCCCTGTGAAGTGCTTCCATTAGGGCATCTCCTTATCGAGGTACTTTCTGAAGAGACGATGCACTCTTTTCTCTACCAGTTAATTCTTTGTTGCAGACTTCATCTCTTCTTGTTATACTATCTGAGAAAGTAACTGTTTTATTCAAGTTTTGCTTTCTTATTGTTGGAAAAAGCAAACACTTATTTTCTTCCTCACTCTTTTGTATAGTTTTCCTTATATAGACTGTCACAAATGATTAATGATATAAAAGAAAAAAGTTTCAGATTCTTCAATTATTAATTTTAGATAAACTTTGTATTAAATTAGTAAAATGTGAGAAGATACACCCGTCGATCAGGTATTCACAAAGAATAAAAAAAATCCAAGAGAGAAACAAACCTATACATACACCTATATACAGCGAGTAATCGTCGCTCTCTTGTACAAAAATGATACAAAATCAACCAAAAACTCCTTCCTAATTTAGATGATTAGGCGTCTGGTATTGAAATTGTAGATTAATGAGTTTACTAGGGTGAGATATTTATTTCATAAGAAAACTGTAGGTGAAATGATCTCCATTTTGGAATTCTAGGTCAACTCTTTAGAAGTAGATATCATTTTTTGTTGATAGCAAAGTGCTAGGGATCAGTTAGTTTTAGTTAAGGGAGTGGGCTGTTTCTTTTGTGAAGGATTGTGCATCCTTAGTCTGCTTGTTCCTCTGGGCTGAGCTTTCCCTTGCTTGTTCCAGGGTAGCTTAGTTAGGATTTCTCCATCTTCAGGATATAGTTCTTTATTCATTTATAAAATTACCAGTTACCCAAAAAAAAAAAAAAAAAAAAAGAGCTAGGGATCATGTCAATTGCTTTAGTTTCATTCGGAAGAGGTACTTAGGGGGGTTTGGTTCAAGGAATGTTGGATTACGAAAAAGATAGATTATCTTGAAGATTACTGAGAATCTTTAGGAAAATGTGTTTGGTTAATTGGTGGGTATGTTATATTAATATGTTTGGTTGGGAGAAATAAATTGATGGGTCTGTTATTTAAATTACTGAATTGTCCTTTAATTAAATATTATTATTATATTATTTTTTAATATTATTATTATTTGGATTATTAACCCTCCCTACATTTAAAAACTTAGCAAAAACAACCCTATAATAAAAGTTTAAAAAATCAACAAAACACCCCCCACCAACCCAGCCACTACCAGCTGTGGGCAACCACCGACAATCTAACGGTGCACGGAAGGCCAAAAATGGCCGTGGTGTGCCGATATGGCTTGGTCGGAAATGGCCAGATTTGGCCGCTGACGGCCAGATTGATTACGGTTGTGGCCGTTAACGGTCATCGATCTGGCCGTCCGTCGATCTGGCCTTTGATGGCCAGATTAGATCTAGCAGTCAACGGCCAAATCTGGCCATTTCTAGCCAGATATATGGCCAGAAATGGCCATATCGGCGCACTGCGGCAATTTTTAGCCTTTCGTGCGCCGTTCCGATGGTGGTTACCGGCGGCAGGTGGTTGGGGGTGGTGGTTTGGGTGGGCTGTAATTTGTTTTGAATTCAAGGGTAATTTTGTCCAAAAAATTAATTAATTGGGGGTGAAATAGTAAAAGCCATATCATGTAAATAAATTTAAAAGTAAGGGTATTATTGTCTTAAAATTTTATTAATAAGAGATATAATTGTAACAAAAAAAGATAACCCTGGTAATGTTAGAATACCTAAGAAAATGGAGGTAATCAAATTACTTCAAACTCAAATATTACCAATAGTAACCATTATTGGTATTTGAAGATTACCGGTATCTTATATTACTTGACAACTAAACATGGTAATCAAGTAATATAAGATGACTTAACCCAAGTAATCTCAAATACCCTCTAACCAAACCCCACCCAGCCACCACTGCCAACAACAGACCAACCACCACGGACCACCGTCGGAAAGTCGTCGGAGTCATTATAAAAGAACGAGATTCAGTGGGAGGCTTCGATATGGCTGTTTTCAACCATATTGATGGTCGAAAACGGCCATATCATGCCAGATCTAGCCCGAAATGGCCAAATCTATTCTGGCCATTTTCGGTCAGATTCCTGGCCATTAACGGCCACGGATCTGGCCGTTAACGGCCACATCTATTCTGGTCGGAATAGATCTGACCGTTAATGGTCAGGTCCATGGCCGGTAACGACCAAATCTCACCCAGATATGGCTGATAATGGCCGTTTTCAGCCATCAATATGGCCAGAAACGGCCATATCAGAGCCTCTTGGTCACAATGAGCTACTCACGGGGACTTTCAGAGACTTCCGACGGTGGTTTGTGGCGATGGCAGGGGGTGGGGATGATTTTGTTATAAATTAAAGTTTTATATAATCGGGAGTATTTTAGCTAAATCTGAAATATTAAGGGTTAAAAAAATTATTCAAAAATTAATAATAAAAGTAATATTATATTAATATTTAAAAAAGGGATAATTTAGTAATTTAAATAACATATCCATCAATTTATTCGTTATAACTAAACATATTAATATAACATATCCACCAACTATCCAAATAGATTTTCCTAAAAAATTTTAGTGATCTTCAAGATAATCTATTTTTTCTAGAAATCCAATATTCCTTGAATCAAACGTCGGTTAAGGTATTTCTCAACTCTCGAAAGTGTTCTATGTATTTCAAATATTACATTCTTGCAGAGATTCTCTACTGCAAATGTGGTATTTCTTTTATAATGAAGACCTCGTTAATACTAAAAGACAAAAACTCAAACATAGTTTTTTGCTCTGAAAACTATAAAAAATTTGTCGTTTAATGTACTGCAGATTAATGGAGGTCTGCATTTTGAAAATTTCAAGATGTCTACGACTGAAATTTTTTGTACTTTTTTTATGTTATGGAAAGACTTATCACCAAACACAACTTTGATAATTATTTTAAAGTAGGTTTGAATATATATGATTGAAAATTTGAAATAGATTGACATTATATTAGAATCAAAGATTTGAAACACTTACTTTCTGTAACGCATTCGATTGAAGTTTTTTTAACGTGTTTTTTACTGAAGTACTTAAAAACATTTTGCCAAAAATATTCAATAAATTCTTTTCTAAGATAAAACATTTGACCTATGCTTTTTGTTTTTTTTTTTTTTTATGTAAATACAAAGAAACGTTTCGGGAGAAGTATCCGATAATTTTTTCCTAGATATAAAAGAATTTGATCTATGTTTTTAATGTGTTTCTTACCTAAGTACTTAAAATTGTTTCGATAGAAACATTCAATAAATTTTTATTTTTTTCTATATTCATAAAAAAATCTTCTATTTTAAAGAACTACAAAATCATTTTATAAACACCTTAAAGATTCATAAAACTATTTTTATAAAATAAAACAAAAATAAAACAAAAAGAACTGAAATGGGCCGGTTATGAACTGGGTAGAAGCATTGGAGCTTTTGTCCAAAAAATGTAACTAAAATGGGGGCGGGTTTTCGGGGCTTAAAATGCTCACATGCCGCCACGTGGATGTGCCCGAGCTCTTTGTCAGTCATCTAGTTTTTTGAGTGGGACCCACTTCCTTTGAAAGTTTCACCTACTCAGCTTTTGTCGTTTTCCTTCCTTCTGTACACTTGTATTTTAATAATACGATAATCCGTAAATATCAAAGACATCCACAAAGTTTTGAATTTATCATTCCCACCCACAAAAGCTTCTAGAACATCACTGGAATCCTATTTTAGAAGAAAAAGTAAAATTAATTACGTAACTCTAATTCTAGCGAATTAAGATAGGGCATTGTCAACATAAAACAATTTATGATGAAACTAAACATGTACTTATGTATAGATCATATAGTACTATAGTTGTGGGGAAGATCGATATTGGAGAAAATGATCTTCAGAAATTTTTTAATCAGAACAATAATCAAATTAACTCGAACATGCATATTTGAAGTAATTAGAGTTAACGACAATAGGACAATTTGATCTCTAATGACTTCTAATTAGGATTTTTCCCTGAGTGATCACATTCATGGTGAAGTTGAACGACCGTTGAGTAGTATACGTTACGTTAGAATCATATCCGTTTTTTCTGTCCCTTGTTAATTAATTAATTGTTACGTTAAAGAAACATCCAAAATAGGAGTCTTACCCTACAGAAGTTCATCAATTTCAAATTAATGGAACTTTAAAATATCAAAGCTAAAGCACTTTCTTCAAACTAATGGGGTCGACACATTTGCAGATTGCAGTTCTATTAAACATTAATATATTCTTCTTTACATGTATAAACTGTAAACATAAACTGTTTCGAGTCCAAGAATTGAAAGTTTAATAATTAATACTGTAATTAAAAACAATATTATAAATTACATTGCGCACTTATAACGGTCTTACTGAAAAGTTAAAATAGGAAATGGATGGAAGTTATGGAACAAAATTGGAGAAAAAGATGCATTGAACATGCAGTACATCTAGTCAGGATATGGTTTTGTGGAATTCAAAAAAGTTCTTCCCCACTAATGACTTTCAAGATTTTGCTTCTGTTCAATATAAAACACAGTTAAATTGCTTTATATATATATATATATATGTGGAATTCAAAAAAGTTCTTCCCCACTAATGACTTTCAAGATTTTGCTTCTGTTCAATATAAAACACAGTTAAATTGCTTTATATATATATATATATATGTACAGCCCTCAGAAGTAAGCAAAAATGGATGAAAACTCAAAAGAGATTGGATGTTCTAAATTTGATCAAATTCAATAATCAAATTAACACTATGTATGTCGGGGTTAGATTTTTGTTCTTTTGACTCTTTCATTGAGTAAACTTATATATAAATTGGTTTAACTAACACACACCTGTTCACTATTATATAATTCTAAATTTGAGTCCCCTTCAAGGAGCTGGATGTCAGCACGCGGCTGCCAAGAGTCTTCATGGTTTCTGGTATGACTTTGCTTTAGGCGAATTGCACGGCGATTTCAATAGAAATACAGACAAATAACAGTGATTAATGTAGTCATCAGCGTAATTGTTTAGAAAATGTAGAAATGCAGCCCTCAACATAGTGAATAAACTTTGGATGATGATACATACAACCAAATAGAGATGAGATAAACGCACAACTTCACTAGAGGGTTAGGTCAAATGGCACCTAATCGATCAGATGAAGACAACGTGTACTCCACGGCAAGGGCATGCAGCGAATAATATTTTTGGATGAGGACTTGGAAAGAGAAAACACGCTCTCATATTTCCATTGCTGATGCATGATTCCTCATTGTTTATTAAAAATTATTAGTCTGCTTTTTAATTAGACAACAACTTAGGCTTTATTGGTGGTCCACATTTCCTTAATGCTGATTTTGCGGATTCCTTTTCAAAGTATTATACTTAATTTGATGTTAGACTTTTACAGATAGCAAGAGCTTTGCATATGTTTGTTAAATCCACACTTAGAGAGACAAAGGTGCCAAGAAAAGGAGAAGCTATTTGTTCTTAATCAATAAATTAATATGCAATAGGGATTAAAATATTAGGGCTGAGGTGGGTCCATTTCTCTTTAGATCGATACTTTACCATTAGAATGTTGTATGCAAGTAACTAGGCAGTAATTTTATATTAGGAATACATTAACAATATCATGTGAATCCATGTGAAGAGGGTCCTTTATGTTGCTAAAACTCTTGATCCTTTGAGTGTCATCTTGATCTTAGCCACAAAATTGTGTTAAACGCCTTTTCTAACCATATTACTTAATTAACTTTGTATCATAATTATTGTAGCGTAATCATCATCCCACAAGGTCATGAATAATTTAAATTACATTGTTGATTGATCATTTTATGTTTTATATTCACATATCTTGAAGGACATACATACATATATATATTTATATGATACCAAACTTACATGATTAGAGAAAACACATTTTCATTATTAAATTAACTTCAAGTTTTATTGTAAATGTAAGTCACTAATATTTGGCATCCCCATCATAACAAAATCATTTGCATTGATACTCTATAAGATTAGGATAAATTAATGTAATTAATCTGTTCAGGACTGAACCAGGGTATGCAGTTTGTGGTGATTCCATTTTGAGAGGCTGAAATTGCGCCGTAAAATGAGACGAAAAACGAATTGGAAAATCTAAACTACTTGCATAAGATGTCTAGATGCACTTTTGATTTATGCTTTCGCCTTAGAACGCTAACGCAATCTCAAGGCATTGAGAAAGTGCATAAAAGCATCCTAAGATGTTAGCCTGACCAAGCAAGAATATGTAAAAACCCTCTAATGGGCAATGGCCACTATCTTGAACTTTTAAGGTCTAAATTATAGACTGTATATTATGCTGCTCTTCTCTTCTTTTCATTTGTAATTTTCTCCCTTCCTAATTATTCTTGTATTTATATTTATGATGTTTATGAGTTTGCAAATATATCTATACTTACAGATTGAGTCATGGTCCTAGTTTGACTTTAAAAACATTCTTGTTTCAATTGATTTATATATGATGTATATGGAAACGACAATGAATGACTTTCATTAGAAGAACAACATTGGAAAACATATATCTCTATATATTATTCAAAAGCTGAATATTGAACAAAAGTATAACAATTATACATAGAGATATATTAATGGCTCTTAATCCAAATATATATTGACTATATTGAAAGATGGAAAGGCAAAAGCTAGAAACAAACAGCTTGAAAACCCTCCAGATACTTGGAAATTAAGTTTGCTGAATCGAAAGGGTGGCAAAAACTACTTATTTATGAAGAATTCAAGCTTCAACGAGGGATGGTTAATTCTTATGGTGGTCACTTATCAGCTATACCAAAACGTACCATCACAACAAGTACAAGAACAACAACATCGGTCTTTCATGTGCGGTAGCTAATTACCAATAATGTTTTTTTTCCAAAAGGCAATTTACCTGCTCGCCTCTCTAATTAAGAGTGTTACTTTTTAAGTGCATTAATCGTGGTTGAACCAATTATATACAATATCTGTTCTTTTTGATACCTTTGGGGCTTCTCCACATAAAGTTTACTTTTTCCATCATATCTATCTAATCTCATATGTTTTAACTTTAATTATGTGGTAAACACAACATCAGAGATCCTTTTCATCATCCTATGTAGCCAATCTTAATCAGTTTCTCTTCCACTACCTTTAACATCAATCCATCTGTATCCCAAAATTCGGAACCATCTTCAGTACATCAAAATGGAACATCAATTGAACCCCAATTATATTTTATACATGGATGACCTAATTTATATTAAATATACGTATCTTAAGGTTTATTTTTTTGCTATCGAAAGTCAAAGTGAGTGGGGTTCATGTTTTTCATTATTAAAGAGAGAAATGCAACCCCCCCACCCCCTCCACCCCAAACAAACTCATCCCCAGTTCATCCCAATAAATTTGTCATTGAAAATTAAAACTTAAAGCTTTTCGAAAAATTTATATGCAGACAATCAAATTATAAGCTTGGACGTCACAAAATCAGGAATATATTCAATCAATGATATATATATTTTTATGATCGGGGTATCCGGACCAGTTTACGCATACCTTAATCAATCATCTGGAACCCTAGAACTATCGGCCATATAAGAACTTCAGTAGTTACCCCTATTAGCAACCAAAAAGGTACTCAAACTTAAGACCTTTTGAGTATTACATCTAAGAGTCTCTGTGAATGATATGCAACTAAACTCTAGGTGGTCAAGTGGTTCGATAGGAACTTTTGGGTATATTACTTAAGAGGCCATGTGTTCGAGTCCCTCCTTAGTTACTAATTAGGGTAGTCACTAGAGTTCTTATTTGACTGATAGTTTCAGGGTTTCGGGAGATTAGTTGAGGTGTGCGTAAGTTGACCTTGACACCCGCCGTCGTTTAAAAAAAAAAAAAAAAAAAAAAAAAGATATGCAACTGTATTTCCATATTCTGCCAGTAATTAAATGAATTGCAGACTTTCATATTTAGTACAATTGGTTATTATTTGGGTTGTACCATTGCTATATACATTTGTTTATATTTATAGCACATTTTCGTGGTGTTGCTAAATATTCCCGGATTCCATTTTCCAAGTACCCTTTTGATATAAGTTTATGTTCATCTATCGAAGCATCAGTACATGTTATTTATATATGGAAAGAAATGTTTTTAATAGCATGAATGTGATATTTAATTTTTATTTTTCGCAAATCTCGATGGCACGAGGAGTTTTATTTAATATATACCTAGTTTGGCAACGGGCCAATAGGGGGCCAAAACATTAATTTTTAAGTAAAAATGAGAGTGAGTAACTGACTATAATTAAAAACATTATTCTCTGAAATATGGAAACAAATTAATTACAAGAAATCAAGTCAAGGCAAGTACAATAAAAGATGATAAACTTAAACCAGCAGAAGAATAGAGTTCTCTTTTTTTGTATATTTCATGTTGCAAAGCCTTGAAATGAATATAGTACGTAGTATGGTTTTCAATTCAATTTATTTCTCTGGAATCAGTAAAAAAAAAGATCAAGAAATCAGCATGAGAAGATCCAATTTTCCCATTAGTTTCTTTTACTCATGACATAAGGCCAATCCCACAAAACTCAATATGTTTTATGTAGAAGATCAAGGCAGCACTCAACTTAATTAATACAACTAAACATGTATATAAAAACCTAGATCGAAGAATTTATTAAAGATTGTTTTGAGCAATTTAATATTCCTAAATTTAAACACCCTTTCATTCTAGTCTTATAGAAGAAAAAGAAGAAGAAGAAGCAAGTAATTAAACACAAGAACAGCAGAGAAATTAATATACAAAAACATAGAGTTGAAATTACATTAATTTATTCATCTGTGAATTACTTACTTAATTTTGTCTCTCCATACATGGCAACACAAGCTAGCTAGCTAAAACTCTTAAAAACTTTAATTTTTTCATCTAATTATGCAAAAGGTGGCCGCCCATGAGCCCAACCATAAGCTTCATGGCTCAGCTGCCCTCCATTAGGCACCAAGTTTGGAGGCAAATTATTATAAACCGGCAATCCTGAAGGATCACCCAAGCCGCCACTGCCACCGCTACCGTTCCCGCCACCTCCACCTCCACCTAGTGGCCCCTGCGACCCGCCACCGCCTCCTTCTTCCTCCTCCTCGAGTGGCAGCCTCTCATACGTAGCATTCGAGAACGTCGCTGCGATCACCATCACAGGGCCTGCCGCCACCAGTGACCCGACCACACTGCCTCCCACGACCTGCCCCTGCCCGCCGGCTAAGTAAATAGTCAGCCCAGTTGACCCGGGAGGCGCTGGACCGGGTAAAAATGCTCCGGTTAGGGATAGTATCTCAAACCTACCGTGAATTGCCATGACTGCACCGGGGTCGGATGGCTGGCGGAGGGTGACATTGGTGACGGTGCCGCTTCCACTGAGTACACACACGCCTCTTTGTCTCCTTCTAGCGAAATTAGCTAGGGTTTCAGCAACATCAGAGCCGTTCGCTATTTCCATGACGTGACTTTTAAGTGCATTAGGACTATCTCTCGTGACGAATATGGGAGGTTTGGGTTTGTTCTTGGAGCCCGGTGGACGACCTCTAGGGCGGCGCGTGGAGATTTCGATAGCTCCCTCTTTAGGCTCATCACTGTTCTCTCTTTCATCTTCATCGTCGCCGCCTCCACTTCCACTTTCTCCATTATTGTTGGCCATAGAGATACCCAGATCTGGTTTTTTCATGGGAGATGACGAAGTAGCTGAAGTGTCCATTCCAGGTAGACCCACTTGCCCGGTCCACCACCGGTTCGCCATGACTGTGAAACAACCAGAAGCACCAACAAAAAGAAGAAGAAAAAGATGAGGACGATGATGTTAAATTCTTAGGTTTAGATCTCGTTTGAGCTCAAGATGAACATAAAATTCTCCATATATATAAACATGAACTCTAAACTTAAAAAGTACTTGCGGTGGATATGTATAAACCTAATAAAGAAGCATTCAAGAAAGAAGTTAAACTGAAAAAGAGAAAAGCTGGAAGAGAACAACACACTTTAGAAAAGTTTGAACAGAGAGAACAAAGCGTAAAGAGAAGATCAGAAGAGTCAGAAAGAAAGAAAGAAAGAAAGAGGAAGATTTGAAGAAGAAAACAAGTAGTTAATTTAGAAGCTGGAGATCAGTATACAACACCGTCTCTCACTCTCTTCAAAATTTGATGAGGGTTTTCTGGGTAAAACTGCTCATTGAATTTTGATTAATAAATATTTATATAAATTTGTCAATGACTATTATAATATATAGAGAGAAGAGAAGAGATGAAGGTGGTGGTGGTGGTGCTTGGAAATTAGGGCTTTGTTGTGAGCGTGGGGTCTTGTGCGCGTGAGAAATTGGGGTGCACGTCGCTCTCTGGGCGTCCCGACATTAATATAACACCCGATGCTGAGGTATATGCAATGCTTTCGTATTTATTTTTTATTATATATAATACAACTGAGAAATACTATGCTACTTTCTTCTTCATCACTTAAACATTGTTAATTAATTAAACTAATTCAATTTTAATAACCTTGTTAATTACAACCAACACTGTAACGTTGATTACACCTCACTTCCATCATTACTATCATGTATTTCTGTATTTTTTTTTTTTTCAAATTTTGAATCATGTCCGTAACGGTTCATTATCATTAATAAACGTTAAACGTTTACAAGATAAAATTTTAGTCAAATTTCTTACGCGAAACTTTCTCGTTTCAAAATTTGTCTTTATTATTTACTAGTTCTCGATAAAAGATATTTGTAAATGAAATGTGATAGACTAATACTTCATGAGTTAATTTTCTATGTGATTGAGTTATTGCATATGTATTAAAGTAATGCTAGTTTCCCTTTCCAAGATTGCAATTTAATTTGTGAAAAGCTTAGGGAAGGTGATATACAGAAGTAAGAAAAAAAAAACGTTCAATAATAAATACATATATACACTATAAAGTATATATATATATATATATTATATATATATATATATATATATAATATATATATATTATATATATATATATATATATATTTATATATATATTATATAAAACTTTAACTTAAGGTAGTCATATACTAATGAAGAAAATAAGAAAAAACTATTGCATATAATAAGCTTTGGTTTGAATTAATATATAATAGATATCATGCTTCTCTTGATTTACCACTATAGATTTGTAATATTATTTTTTCCTAGATATTATAAAGACCATTGTAGTATAATAGATAATCTATAATCTAATCCTTGTACTAAATATTATATAAAAAATATTGGCTATATAATTGATTTGCAAGAGAGGATGAAATGAATTTAAAAACTCTACTTGAGAGGAAACCAGCATCTTAGGGAGAATGTTCTTCTACATGCACCAAACTAAAGCTTTAAAAACTCTTCTCTTTTTCTTTTGTATTTCTACCTATATAGCATTAATTTTCTTTATTTCTGTTGCTGTATATAATCCTCCATATGTAAATTCTCAAGCAATTTTAATGAAACAACACCTACATATTATGTATAGTTGAACATTTCATATATATATATAACGGATAGAGATTAGAATGAGGTGGATCTGAAAAATCATGGAAAGCTACTAGGGATTATTCAATGGTATATCTTATAATTAGTCAAGAGTCAGAAGAGCATCGACTTGGAAATTTATTTAATCCAAAACTTAATTATATGATTATATTATTGATTAATGTTTCGGATTTCATTAATTTGCACAATGATGAAGACACTAAATTCAACAAAGAATGATCTTCGACTTATTATAGGTAATTAAGTTGTTATAATCTAATCAACAAAATTATTGATAAAAAGGAAAGTAAAAAAGAACAAGTTAATCAAGAACAAATCTTATAATTAACAGAAACACAATTAAATAGAGTGAATATATAATTTAATTTCCTTACCAATAGGTAGATAATTAATCAGTCTTTGTTCATCCCCATTGAAGCTCGCAGCCCTAGCTGGTATAATCGGATATTCAAGAATGAGAGGCGATTAAAAGAAATTAGGGCAATGGAGGCCTCAAATTTTGACTAATAATAAAGAAAAGAGTGTCAGAAGAAGAAGAATTAACCCACCCCCACCGTCTTTGCATTTTTGCATTGACTCTCTTTTGATGAACATATAATTAATTTTTACAATAGTCCATTTCAAATATTATTTTAACCCTAGCTAGAAGGACTCCACCTTCCTTTCATGCATTATTTTTTCTTCTTAATTAAGTAGAGCACAAGGAAAGCACATAAAATAAATTTAATCTTCTTTACTAAATAACTAATTTAAAACCTTTTATATATAGAAATAATTAATCATCATACCACCCAACACCAAACCTCTAACAAAAAAAATATGTTTTGGAATCTAAAAGTCCAGAAAATAGTACGAAGTAGAAATTAATAACCTTTTATTTTATTTTATTTTTTTTAACAATTTTTAATTTAATGTTTCGATATCTTCGGTGTGAAATGTCTTATTCAAATCCCCATCTTTTCTACTAACTTGTAGATTAATTAATTAATTGTGGTATTGTTATTGTTTCTTTCAAGTCGTCGTAGTCCCTTGTGTAGAAGTAATCAAAGTATGATGATTTTTATATTGAAAAAAAATTGGCCGGAATTGGTTTATAAAATATTATAGTGTTCACATCATCTCCGGCCACCTAGCTGATTAATTAATTAAGAGTGGTTGAGTCCTTAATTGGAAGTCTAACTTCAATATATATTAAAAGATTAAATTAATTTGATGGCTGGCGATGGGTGAATAACGTTTAATTGGTCTATATCATGAGCTAATTAAGAGTTGACAGGATGTGTTAAATCAAGAATTAGTTTTATTTGTTCTTACGTAGAACGTTGTACAATAAGTTAGGATTGTTTTTTCAAATCCTTTTCCTTGTTAGTAAAAAAAAATTAATTGATTTCAACCATAAATGATAGCTCTTGTTTTGCAAACAAATTTCGAAATTACTTTTACAGGAATTGGCATCGGAAAAGGTTTCTTTTTTTTTTTTTTTTACTGCAAAATACCGGAATAAAGATTCCGATGCCGGAATTCTTATCAACTGCAAGTCTTATCAACAGATTTGTATATCATATTTCGCATCTTAGTTGATGTTCTGTAAGGTCAATATGGCCTCTTCTGACGTTTTTCATGCACCGGAATAGGTCATAATTCTTGTAGAATAAAGCCATTAAAGCCAACATATCGAATATGACACTAAAGGCCAATTCCGTATGCTTGGCGAATTATTCAAATAAACATTATTAATTGATTACTGGTTAAAGACTAATTGATCATCAACTAAACAAGCTCAATTGTCCTCACCTCATTGTTTCTTCTACCAGTTCATACAAATACTATGAAATTCATTGACCTTTTCTTTTAACTCAATGTCATTAGTTTTTTCTATTATATATACCAAGTCATGGTTGATGACATAATGAAACAGTGGATTAAGATTCTCTTCATCTCAAGACAAATTTAGGTTTATATAAAGTGATATACAATTAATTAAAAGTTACAGTATAATTTAATTGGTGTCTGCTGCTAAGTTTATAGAATTAGAAATTTTAAAAGTAAATGGATTCAGCACATGGTAATGCCTTGTTATAGGGTTGGTGCCCTGCCCGTGATCTTCACAATTTTTTTTTTTTTTTTTTTCTTGGGACATGTTTTAAGAGTGTGCTCATTGTCTTTTGCTTTTGTTTTTTATTCGCTTAATTAAATTAATAAATATTTCGTTTTGAATACTGATTTCTCCTAGTGAGTTGCAACCTAGATAAATGCCCCCACTATGGGTTTTTAATTCTCCTCCAGAAAATTTAAAATAAAAAATTTTAAAAAATAATAAACATGTTGAAGATCAAGTTCTGGCTGCCATATCCATACACAAATTAGAGGGATTTTCTAATCTCGGCTCTAAATTAATTAACATTAAGTTCCAAGTTCCAACAAAACAATCGTCCAGTATAGTTTTAGTAGAAAATTAATTAAGAACAAAATGGTACAATGTGGGAAATAATATACAACTATGTCAAGTTTGGGAAGAAGACACTGAAAAAATCAATAAATTAAATAGTGAAGAAGCTAATTAGATTAAATTAATCCAACTTAGATGCTTCAAGAGTGGATCACAATAAGTCAATATCGCAGACATCAAACAGTTCGTATACTAATTAATAACTTTTAATTTATAACAAATGAAATCAAATAAAAGAATTTACAAAATAGAAATTTGATTCTTGAGTCTACATTTAAATAAGTGTTTAGATATATACACTATGACTCTATGGCATGCCAAAAAGAAGATTATTCATATATTAATATATATATGTCTGAATACAAGATCTCTTGAAAGATGGTTAAGAGAGCATCATGTGTATCCCAATTTTCGTAGAAATCACATCTGAATACAAGTTCTTTTAAATTCAATTCAAATTTCATGTATTGATTGTTCAATATATTATATTGCATTCTAGTTTGAATTGGGTTGAAAATGTGAAATATGATAGAAAAATTTAACACTTCAACTCAAAATATTAGTCTTTAGTAATGTATCCCACGTTAGTGTAGTCACTACGTGTAAAAGGAGTCTATAAAAAAGGGGAATGAATGAATGCAAGGGCGAAGTTGTAGAAGAAAAATCTACCGTTACGGAAAGAGGGACTGATTCCGTGAGGTTGAAGCCACTAGCGATCTGCTGCATCTACACACGTGAGAAGACAAGCGTGAAGCAGACGGAAAACACCGGGGTGGTGTTTGCCGTAGGCACTCCGACGCTTAAGTTAACAAGGCTGAGTAAGGCTAGTTCAGTGAGGGTTAGGGAGAGGAAAGGTTACCGGAAGTCTAGTCAGGGACTGTGATTACGACTGTAATGTGAAGTTCTCAGGTGAGAACTCCAAGGTCTGAAGGTGTAATGTTTTCGTCCTTTGTGAGAGGGCTGGCCTCTGTTTAAATAGTGATTGTATGGTCTTCCAATCCTGGTAGGACTGGGAGTCCTCGTAGTGGTAGTCCTCCCAAAGGGTGTAACCTTTGGTTCCCTTATCTCAGCAAGAAAGGGAGTTCGAGCATGACTTGGATACGGGCCTTGGAGGAATTGGGACAGTAGTTGACTTCTTTATCAGAGTTCAAGTACGAGTGTAATTCGTAGGCGACTGTGGGCTCCGAGTTGACCATGAGCCTAGAAGGTGTTCTAGGATCAAGAGGCCTGGGTCCAGATGGTAAAATCCGACTGTAATTCATACCGAATGGGCCTCATCTGCGGAATTCCGACTTAGACCCCATCGGGGTTGGGCCTGGGCTTCCATCTTTGTTAGAGGTGTTTCCCTATTTGGGCCAAGGAT